GGGGTTGAGTTCGGTGATAATGAGAGTTAAACTGAGAAGCGTAAAAAAGATCTTCACCCTTGGATACACATTAAGATGAGATACCCCGATCAATCCCCATATGAAAAGCGATTCATGAGTGAGTTTAAGATTAAAGGTGATCAAGGGTCCAAATCCTTTATTATGCTTCTCACCTTTAACTTTTTATTTCTCACACGATCCTTCACCTATGTATGTGTGTGTGTGTGTGTGTGTATATATATATATAGAGAGAGAGAGAGAGAGTGAGAGAGAGAGGAAAAGAAGTTCAATTGCAAGCTGATTTTCGGATGTGAACCGAGGGACAAAGGAGAGCATGATTGGTGTCTCCGAGGTCCACATTCAATATGAATAACGAAGGTAGAGTTCATGAACTATTCACAATGAATGATACATAATTCATGATGAATAACACGGCATGATCTATGTTAAATTGATTCAATATACATCATGAATATGTATTATTCATGATGAATAACACATAGAGGTTTCATCCGGTGAATCACATGATTTCCTAAATCTAAATCCAACAATGGGTGAACCAGAGACTTTGAAATTAATGCATGATTTGGCTCTTTGAAGAATAGGGAAATGTGGACGTGAACGGAGTACTGCTTCTCTCTCTTTCTCCTTGCCCACAGCTCGGTTGTTTCCGAGTTCAACCCGAAACCCCATCGGGAATTACTAATTAGGCACCGGAGTTTTTGGGTTGCCAGCAACGGTGGTGTGTTGGGCTTTGGTTGGTTGGTGGATTAATGTTAGCCGAACAGGGGTGGTACACTTGTAACTGTATTTATGCCATGAGAGAGATGTGTTGAAAAGAGTGGGTTGCATTAATTAAAAGTAATAAAATGTAGATACAAAATCCTAAAGGAGGTATTTGAATTCCAACTCCCATTTAAACCAACTAAACATGGTCACTTAAAATGAGTACATGAGACGAGATGAGAGAACCAACAACACACTCCAAAAAAGTAAAAAAGTAAAAAAGTAAAAATTAAAACAAAAGCTACACCTCAAATAGACCTACCCCGCACTTGAATATCCCCTACTACTGGAATTAAAAACCAACCCCTTTTTTTACTCGAAAAAGACCAAGACGACCACCACCCCACCCCCCCTCCCCCTATATATATGTTACAAATCAAATCCTCCCTTTTTAAAGGATCCTTTCTTTCATTTTCACCTAATCCTATTCCCCATCCTTCACTTAAATCTAGCATGCCTGCATTCTTTCAACTTCCCCACCGCTTCTTCGCTCTTCCCACGCACCATGTCTACATACGCCGCTGTTAGCACCACCTCCGGGTTCTCTGGAATTAACGACAATGCAACCGCCACTGCTTCTTGTGCCCTCTCCATGTCACCTTCTGCCGCCGCCACCGCCGCCATGTCTGCCAACAAAACCCCACGGGCCTCTTCTGGCTTCAAAAACAAAGACCCGCCTTGAGGTAATGCTTGCTCCACGCCATTTGGCTCTTCCAGATCCACGCCTTTCCTCATCTGCCATATGTCGCAATCCTCTTGGCTGTACGGCAATTCGGTATTATTTTGCCCCGACATATAACTAGACAAATGCTCAGAAGCTTGTTTAGGCTGGTTCAATAGGCAGTAAGCCTCTGCTGCATAAAGGTTCCCCAAGAAAACGTAGACCCGAGAACATTCCGCAAGTCTCAAGAGACACTGAGCAGCCGCCAAGCCCTTCACTGCATTCCCCAATTCCAAGTAAACGAAAGCCAGGTCAGCAAGAACGGCTTGCAAGATCATCTGGTTCTCTTTTCCACAAAGGCTCTCGTATTCGTTAATGGAGCTCTGTAGCAAAGCATTCCCGCTACTGTTCCCCACCTTCGACTCTTTCACTTCCCCATTTGAATTCACCTGGCCTGTCGCTTTTAGATTCGACCCTCGGGGATTCGAGTTTTCATCCAAATCAGGTTTCGACTCATCAGGACAGTCCAACAAGTGCAATGCATTGAGGAGACAACTTTTAGCGAATGTGAGCGAAAGATTTGGCTCCTCCTGCACCGTGTTTCTTGAATTCCAGCATTCGATAACAAGTTGTCTCCATTTTCCCCTACCAACAACATTAACATTGATATCCAATTTCTTCTCGGAAGCCATTATACAACACTCGGCAATTCGAAGCCACAAGAGAGGCCGCTTGAAGAAAACTGAACCAGCCTGTCGAAAACATCGAACGGCAAGCGATGGTTTCCCGCTAGCCAAATAGACTAACCCGCAGTTGTAAGCAAAAAAGACAGATTTGTCCTGCGAGATATTTAACAGCTTCCTAGGCCTCTCTTTCCTTTGTTGAGCACTATTACCGAGTGCCTTTGAGAAAAACACTGCTGAAGTCTGGTACTTTCCGAGTTGATAATAAATGCATCCGAGATTGTTATTATACAATGCGGAAGTCCCCGTTTCGGTTTGACTGACGGATGCCATCAAGAGTTTTATTGCCTTCCGGTGGTTCCTTCTAGCATACTCGAGCTGTGATTTCAAAAACAAGGCAAGAGAATAATCTTTACCACGTGCTATATTCATGGCCATCTTAACTTCACGTTTAGCTGCTTTAAGATTTCTCGTGAGGATGAGAACCCAGACTTTGTATAAATGCACTTTCAACCTCAGATCAGGAGTTGTAATGAGAGACTCATCAGCTTGGGTTCTTGTGAGATCGTTTGACGGTCTCGTTAGGTTTTGGGCCCCACTGACATCGAGAGTTGACATCAAAGATTCATAAAGGGTTTCCTCTGACAGAGTTCGAGATATAGGACTTTCAGGGCCATTTGCATTAACAGCTGAATCGGAGTTGATTGGATCTGATATTATGACATTGCTGGGTGCTGAAGTAGATTTCATAACTAGGTTCGTTAATTGTTGTTGCTGAGTGAAGCTTCCGGAATCACCCTGATTGCCTAAGCTATTCCCACCAACTCTTTCCAAGTAATTGATCACGTCCTGGAATGAAAAGTGTCACAGTTATGCTAAATTATTAGGGAGCAGCTTCTCAGCATAAAAAAAGATGATCAAATTTAAAACTGTCGAATGCATAACAGTTTATCAAAACTAGTTCACTATAATGCATGTGCACACAGAGACGATTAATAGAAGAGGACAACTCAATTCTTACCAGGATGTAGATATTATTGAATTTAAGATAGTGTTTTAGGTTCAGTAGATTTAAAGCTAAATACTGTTAGGAAAGCATCTGATTATTCATATGTAGTTTAATTGGGACGGGTTTCTTATATGTTTCCTCATCCCCTTAAATTTAACCTTAATAGCAGCAGTTCATAAGACCATAGTCTTGTTTCCTGGTGCTAGTATATCTTGATAGCATCCTAAAAACACCACAATTACAAATAGAGACACAAAAGGCCCAAGCCCAGGCCCAGCCTTAAAGCCCGATCAGACCAACTTTTTTTTCATGTACCGAGCCCTGACTGAAGAAGCCCGATTGGGCCTTCTTTAAACACCAAAGCCCGGTTCGGCCACAGAAATGTCTGGGATTTTTTTTGCTTGCTGAAAAATGGGCTTAAAAGGTCGGGACCTTATGCATCTCCAATTACAAATATAGGTAGGAAAGCAATTCATGTAATAGACGAAGGATCGTGTGAGAACAGTAATTAAGGTGAGAAGTGTAAGAACGGATTTGGACCCTTGATCACTTTTAATCTCACCCCCCACCCCATGAATTACGCTTGATACAGGAATCGATCCGGTGCATCTCATTACTGTTCATCTCCAATTAGGATTGATCCAAGGGTGCAGATCCCTTCTTACCTTTCTCACCATAACTTCCATCCTCACTGAAACCCAACCCTCGTGTGATAAGCATGGCCTTTTCTTTTAGTCATTAGTCATTACCATCCTAAAAAACAAATATATAAAAAAACAAGAAACTTACTGCCGCTCTTGTAGCATGATGGCATACTAAAGCAACATCCAGTAACAAGAGGCATACATGACGTGCCACCCTCTGTACAATGAAAGAAACTGATGAGCACACCCAAATCAAACCCCGAGAAAAAAATGATTTAAATTAGTGTCTTACCTCGTCTATTGGTTCAATATTTTGATATAATCTCTCCAAAATGGAGAAACACTTTTCGTACTCATGTAGATGGTAGAGGATGACTGCCTAAAGATAACCAACATGGAAGGAACATCAGCTAATATAATCATGGAAACACAAAATATAATAGCCATAGGAAACACGGGGGCAAGAACTTAGGAAGCAACAAATAATATGATGACGTACTATGTTGAACATCATCACAGAAACATCAAAATCGTCAGCTGAAATGCCCTGTGGGCTACTGATGGTAGAGACTTGATTGGCCACAACATTATTTCCCTTATTTCCCACAGCTTTGCTTCTGTTGTTCAACACCTCTGCATTTTCCCCAGATGAATGAGCAAGCCTCTCACTTCGTTTCTTAACCAAATGAAGAAAAAGTCAAACATGTGCAAGCCAGAACTTTATTAGGAAAACATGTTCACAAATTTAAACTTTATAGCAAATAAAACAACCAACAGTAATATAAATATGATTTCTAATGATTTGCTTGGCAACCATTTATATTAAAAATAATCTACTTCAGCTTTTTGTATACAACAGAGTATCAGCTACTATGTTTAATGTGCCTGGTGGACAGTGTCACTTGGCTTATAAAGGTTTAAGCCACAAATCCATGAGTTAATTTTTCATTGGCCTGTAGAATCTCTCAAATTAACTCAATTCCCTAGCCCGCCAAGCATAACAAATGCTGAAAGTAATGTGGTATTTCATGAACAAATGGGCCTCGACTTCTTGGAAGACTGTCACACGATGAACACAACCATTAATGGAAAATTCACCTCAAATAGAAACTTATGTGATGACCAAGGGCGAAAAGTGACTAGTGATTCATAAAAATTGAGATAATAAAAAAATCTTAGAATTTTATAAAAGCATATATGGCAAATTTTTAGGAAGGAAGAGCTAGAAAGAGTGTTTTTGTTATATAGGAAGCCCCAAGAAGAGAAGGGAGGTGAAAATGTTGAAGGTTCTAACTAATATTCACATTGCAACGCAACAAGATTGCAAAAGAAATCCATTCCCAAATTTTCAAGTGATATTTTTGATTTTATAATAGGAAGGCCTGAAACAAGGTCTGCGATGTTGATTTCTTCCTGAGAGCACAGAAAACAACAAAGTGCATCATCCTCCACAAGGTCGCTAGAACAAAAACAAATTATTGAGCAACTTAAAACAAGGATATTTTGAACACTGTACATCAGCAAAACAACCAATCCATGACTACAGCAAACTTGCAGAATGAAGACAATTATATTAGAGGCCAAAACCAGAACAATCATAAACTAATGGATGGCTAAACTCTTTAAGAATACACCTTCAACCTCAATGTGTTCCAACAAAGAGCTGAAAAAAACACAGATAAGAAATGCCATCAACCATCACTTGCTGTCAATTACATAGAAATTGTTTCTCTTAATATTCATCAGTTTTAGGCAGCATTTAATTGGCAATGATTTCCAAATTCTCCAGATATTTTTATTTACTCCTTCAGCCATGGAGAAAGAAACCCGTTCAGTCTATAAGCAGCTCCTATGGCAACTTTCTACACAAGACACATGCATTCAATTGGCCTTTAGCTGTAAATGGATATTTACAAAAGAAATACAGTGAGGTCATATCAAGTATTATCAATAACAAAGCTCATTTTTTAGTTCTATTTATATTTATATTTGGTATTAGTGAAGTGAAGAAGTACACATAGGAGCAAAACATAATCATAAAACAAACTTTTGTAGGTCGCATGAGAGAAGGATCAGAAGTAAAACCATTTCAACCAATTAAATTCTACTGAACAGTTTTTCAGTTTCTGCATTTTGTTTGCCTTGCCCATGTCATCAAGTCCTAATTATAGTTTTCCCTGGTTTTATATCCTTCACCTATTAAAAACCTCCTATACCAGAAACCAGTGGGATGCTTTGCAAATACCATGGAGAAGTTTATTAAAGAATGAAAAAGAAAGCAGTATTCTACAGCACCAATCTTTAAAATGACCACATTAAACATACCTTGAGACTATCAAGTGCTTCCAAAAATCTCTTCGGATGTGAGAATCCATCTTGAAAGTTCTCCACAATAGCAATGTTATGAAGAATCTAAAACAGAAAGCACATACATAGAAAGGAAACAACCATTAGAATAAAACAGATAAGAAGAAAGGACAAAAAACAAAACAGAACAACAATAAGAACCTTCGGCCATATACCACAAAACATTTATAGTCACCTTAAAAAAATGATCTAGTATTGAACCATGCTTGCTCATCCACCTCTAATAGAAAAGAGTACAATACTAATGGAAGCATTAAACGAAGAGAATATCAAGAAAAAATAGCCATGATAGGATAAACCTGATAAAATATTACAGGAAATTTACATCACTTGGTATGAGAACAGAAAAAAGAGAATACTTTTCATAAGAGACGGTTTATTATCACATTTTTTACCTTCTTACTTCATAAAATATTTTCATCAACACATGTTCACTTTATCTATGTAGTTTTACTATCTCAGAATAGAAAAGAAGAGATTAAATAGAACTGTTGAAATCAATGCCTGTTCAAATTCTATTTGATCATGTAACTTTTATTACAGTTGATCAACTCTGTTTTGTCTGATTTCCCCATCCCCCTTTAGCAAATATAATCAAAAGGTACAAATCAGGATAGTAAGGAGAGCATGAGACACCCCTTAACAATCAAGCATTGTAACTAGACCTATATCCATGCAGAAATGAAATAGAAAAGCCCACTCATAAATTGAGCTGAAATGTTAAGAAAACCATGCACGCTAACAAAATCCTCTACTTAATTCTTGATAAATATCAATATCCAACGAAAGGTCACAAAACCATAATTGGCTGAAAAACTGATGTGAGAGCCATTAAAGATAAAGCTCCAAAAACAAGTCTAAAGAACTAAACAATATGGGACCCAATATTGATGCCTTCAAAGCTCAATATGCCAATAATGTTGATCCAAGTCCATAAACCCGGAATGTAGAACTGATTGGCATACCCAACAACTATACCATCTAGCAGGATCCCATACTAGTTTCAGAACAGCCTCCAGAGCTTTGGATTACTATAGTCCAATATAATAGTTTAGTTACTCCAAATGACAGTATCCAAATTTAATAACCCAAAGCTCCATAAATGCAAAATCTTTTATATCCTAATTGACTGCAGCAATGCTATATGTCATTGACATGGTTCCAAATGTGGCACCATAGGCAACGGACATGTTCCAAAAGTCTAAACAAATGCTAGCAACATAGCTCCAAACTGAATTAAAGTGCAAATAATATGTCACCCTACTAGGGTCCAAAAGGTGCATGTGCTCTAATTAACGATGGTGCACTTTAATATGATCTCAAAGGCCAGTTACAAAAGTATAAGCCTAATATTTAGCAGGCAAAGCTACACTTTAACAACGATTTTCTGAAAATATCCTTATAGTTGCCAATGTCCAAAATCAAAAATCTATTCAGGGTTCAATTATTCCAATTACACAGATCCCAAATATCAAGTATCATTTAGGCTACTTAATAGATATTTACAAAACTATATCTTATATGACCCATATCGTTTAATTAATTCATAGGTTTTCAAAAAGAATGCAACAATGAACAAGAGCAGAACATGTGTTCTTATAACACAATGAAGTCACAAACAACAAACAACCCTATAATAAAAAACCCAAATGGTACAAGCTCATTACATTCCTTCTCCTAACCCTCAAAAATGCACAAAGGCAGGTCCTATAAAATTACCCCGCTTTAGAATAATAACTTAAACACTTGATGAACAACCAAAAGTTTAGACTACACCGCTAACTCGATAAAAGATGCAGAATTTATAATTTAAGTGAAAGTCAAAGATGCTGTCAAACAGATAGGATTCAGCAACACATGGTTCAGAAAACATGTAATATCAATGTTACCAGAGAAAAGATTTAAGAAGCAAAATTTAGAGTTTCAGAGTGTATAACCTTTCTATGAGTCAAGTTTTCATCAAAATAGTGAAACTGCAAGTTTTCAAAACCAGAATAAATTTTATTGACTGAACAATTTGAAGATCGTAATTGCCATTAGAGAAGCATATTTATCAAAATAGTGCAGAGAACTGACTAGCTGGAGATTCCAATGACCACATTTCAATGGATCAGACCAACTACATTTTCAAAAACCAGAAAATGACTCTTTCCCAAAGTAGAGCATGCTTAGAGAAATTGCTTATACTTTAAGTTGGAAATGATTTATAGTCGACATCCCAAAGATTCCACAAAGGTAAAATTTGATGGTTCCAACAAGGGCGATCAGTTACGAGTTTTACAAAAGAATTAGCTTTCAGTCTAGGGTTTTGGGTTTGATGAAGCCGAGAAATTTCAGCACCTTCATTTGTTGTTGATGATGATGGGCTTCCAAGCATCGTGACAGCATTACCTACGCTTATCTCCAAAGGGGTGGTTTCCGCGATTAGCGCTTCAACAATCATGTTACCAATCATGGAGAAAACATCTATGTATAGCTGGATGAGGGAAACATGCTTCGAGGAGCCTATTTGTGGTAGTGGGATACGGCATTTAGAGTTTGGACAGGAGGCAAGACTCCTACCTAGATAAGAGTTCGAGAGGAGTCCCAGAGTTTGTTCTAGGATTCTTTGGTGCATGAAGCTCCTCCGTGAAGGGTCTATGTACAAGGGTGCTCCCATGGTTGCCACAGCACCATGGCAGTAGCCAACCGCCAAGACAACATGAACAGTTTTTAGTACACGATAAACTTAATGCACACACTTTAAAATTCAAAAGGCATGACGTATCAACTGTAAGACTTACCACCTAGAGTTTAAAAATCAAAACACCTGCATATGAACATGAGGCTTCTGCAAAGACGGTATTTTTTGTCATAGTAAAAAACATAGCTAACTTTTACAAATCAAAAGCAACACTATATCGAAGACTCACGCAGCATACATGAAAATTTGCCTATTGTTTCTGATTACATAATTTAAGCTTCTAAAAAAGAGAATAGATAGAAGTATTGAACAAACACTAGTGCTCCGCGCAATCCCAATGAAAAGAAAAAATCAAAAGAACTAGACTTCCACTGCTCAAACATTTATAGAAGTAGAAAAGTTGGATCATCCCTTAGTGATGTAACACCGGTACCTAGTCTAATGATAAAGTGAGGATCTGCACTTTCTGGGAGAAACAGATCTAGAAAATTAGCCCCAAAAAGTAGAAAATTGATGGAAATGGAACCTGGTTGTTAATGACACTGCTGTGGGAGCTATTAAATTTACTAAGCAGAAGCAGAGGAAGTATTGCACATACTAAGCATGCATGTCAAAAATTGAAGTATATTTGAGAGCAATGGTTAAGTAGCATTCAAGAAAAAAATACAATTAATGGGTAATATTCTAATAGTTAAGAGCAGAAAAAATGACAGTTGAGACTAAAAGACAAGGCTGGATTGCATTAACTGAACTACTGGTGAACAAGGTGGTCAATAATGTATTCCGCAGATATGTAGGCCAAGACACTAATCTAAAAGGGTTTACAAGAAATTTTTAGGGCAATGTCAATTAGAAAGAAGCTCCTCATAGAAAGTTTTCAACAATCATATGGTAGAGAAGTAGAGATACAAGTTAACCAGAAAGAACCAGTTATGGTTACAGTAATAAGAATCAAGGAAAATGAATTTCGAATCTTGCAATAGCTTATGATATAATGGCCTTAAACACTTCCCCCAGTAATATCAAAAACCAAATCATGGCCTTAGAAGAGGGATTGAATGTTGTTCATAAACTATAATGTATTGTCATATAGTGTTTTACAGATATTTCCAGTACACATGACATGATGCTAAAAAAAGAAAGGGTGCTAAACACAAAAGGAACAAAAGCAATCCAAGTACATTTAATGATGAAGGGTTGAAGCAAATTCATTTGTCATCAAAGGGGGAGCAAATAGGATGTGAAAAGGGATGGTAATATGCATGAAAGAAGTGCAATAAGTCATCATCAAACTGAAGACATTCTATTGCATGTGGAGGTGAATGAGGCTATAAAAAATATTACAACAACAAGGGGCGCCACAAAATTTTCCATGGTTGTAAAAGGAAGACACATTATAGATTTGAACTAGTCCAACAGAAGTAAAGAAGCAGTAAAATATAGCTAGAAGCAAAGCATATGAGTTGCACAAGAAACTAGAAACAAAATTGAAGAAAAAGGATTAAGACAAGTTAACTAACATAGGGAAAAGAAAACCAAGGAAATCAACTAACATTGACATGAGGGAACTAATAAATGATACTTGGGGGTGTAGAATATACTGTAAACGTTCATTTGATATAACAGTGCAAAGACCAATGTTGTACATGTCTAATGTCCCTCGAGGATTTCAGCATTTTAATTTCTAATGCGATTTTGTTTCTATCTACCCAACTAGATTAAATAAAAGCCTTGAGGGGTAGTTGTCGTAGCATACAATCTCAATTTGTTATGCCGCTGATTGTAGCCTACTTGCATTTTTTGTACTTCCATTTAAGAGCCATTATAAACATGTTCATATGATGATTTTGTAGTCATATCAACCAGATATGTACGATCTTATTACTCACGAGTGAAAATAAAACACCAGTTTTGTGTATTAAGTACTCCCCTTAATAAGCACGACAATTAGTTCATAGACCCTTAGAAAAGATTGGTTAAATATTATACTCAATATGTTATGTAAATACATATACATAAGAATCTTGAGATAAATATAGAAGAGGTTAACCCTAAAAAGGTAGACTGTGTCACTAATGATTACATGATTCGGATAGAAGAGAAAAAGATGGCACCAAAGAAAAAAAAGGGAAATCACAGAAAATCACATTGATGCACACACATACATAGTCAATAGTCATCACTTTCCCAAAGAAAAGCTGAAAGCAAGGAATAGCTAACATGAGAAACACCTTTTTTTCAGTTTTAAACAGCTATTAGACAATAACAAATATTATGATTCCTTAATAAACTAATACCTTCTCACTTTTCAAGTCCAAAATACTGATTTCAAGCACAAGACCTAATAAGTTTCAACCAACATCGTCATATCCGTTTATGGCATTGGCATGTACAACTAACCTTTCCACCAATTCTTACATTATTAACACCTTCAAAAGTCATCTAAAGAGAAGGGAAAGGCAACTCAAATTCACATGCAGTGTGTTCCAACAACAATCTTGAATAGGAACAAAATGTTGTGAAAACATAATGCTATATGAAGTTGGGACTTCGATCCCACTGCATTTGATGATGTCCACACTTGTTTTGCTTGACTTCTCTGTTTTCCCCTATCTTTTAGCATTCCACATCAGTTTTCAGGCAAATATTAGTAAGAGCTTTTTGCAAAAGGCTACTCTTGCCCAAACCATTACTAAAACAACATTTAACCTCATAGTTATTATAAAATTCCACCAGATTGGCTTCTTTAACCACAACAAAAATTTCATACAACCAAATAGTTTTAAACATGCCAATTGTGACACTTTTTACCCATGAACCTCAAAACCTCAATCATCCTGGGAAAAAAACAATTAGCTAACAAAGCAACCAAATGAACTATCTTATGCAAGCCCACGATGTACTCAATTATTCCAAATAAGATTCAACTTTCGAATATACGTCTTCTCCAGGTACAAAAAGAAATTGACAAAGTGCACTTCAAATGCGGAGCACTAGGAATCCACTTCGCCCAGAAATTTTATTGAGAGTACCAATGAGTACAAGTCCTATTTGGTACCAATTGCAAAACAGGCACGAGGCACTCAAGTCATTCACTCGCATTTACATGCATCCTTGATTTCCATGCATTTTGAGAAGTGGACTAGTGAACTGAGTGAGCAATCTCAGTTTAACCCTACAGCCTACATCTTAGTGTTCCGATTAAAGTAAATAAACGGAATTTGATGCAATCAGAAAACCTCTCCATGTCACGAATCAAAACAAATTCCAAAAAAATAATACATTTTCAATTCCAATCTGTATTTAAAACACTCCACAAACAGTGAAACACACAGAAGAACACAGAGGTAAGTAAATTCACCTTCGGATCATCCGCTTTCTTCTCCAAGATCTGATTCAAGACCTTGAGACAATCGACATACTTCCCCAACTGAAAAAGCACATACGCCTCCTTCGCTAGCGTTTGAGTGACAGAAATCAAGTCAGCGTCAGGCGATGACGATGCGTCCCCCCTACTGTTGTTGTTCGACAGAGCCACTGATGACGAGTCCATTCCACCAACCAACAGATCGAACAATCAACAAAATCGGAAATCGCAAAAAAAAAAACCCTAATCTTCTTCTTAATTCCTCTAAAACAATCACATATGCATCACGGAGAACAAATTAAGCGGTTGAAAACCTAGAATTTGTAAGACCTGAATCTGTATATAAATGGTGAGAGTGAGACTGATTTCGGGGGAGATAGAGAGAGAATCTAGAGAGGGAAAGAGGGTTCGTATTGCTGCTATCGACTATCGAGTCTGGGCTGCGTCTCAGATGAGCGATTCCGGTCCGAGTTATGCTAACATCACATATACGGGTACCTAGTTTGTCTGACAGACCGTTGATGTCATCGACTATTTATTGATCCAACGGTGGATTACGTGCCTATGTTTGTCACCCAACTTCAGTCGTGTGAAATTGGCACTCTACTGTTTGTTTATTTTTGGTTTTAGGGGGAATAAATACTTGAAATAAAATTTTAATTCCATCATAATTTTTGATTTTTTTAATATTTAATAATTAACTTTTTAAAAATAAATAAGGAATTTTATAAATAAAAGTTTATTAATAACATAATCTTTTAACTTCTAAGAATTATACGTAATTATGCATAATTTTTTTAAAAAATCTTTAAAATTTATTAAAAAAATTGATTAATAAACATATTTATATATAAAATAATTATTTAAATCATATCATTATCTTTATTTTAAAAAAATCTATCCACCATAAAATTTGTTATTGTTATTGTTATCTTTATCCTAAAAAGTATTAGTTTGTTATCAACAAAGATAATCGTAATCAAATCAAAACAAACAAATAGATATTTACTTTAAATTTAAAAAAAATCTAAATTGTAACAGATTTAGTTAGAATTTTTATATATTTTTTATTCAAATTTGCAAGATATATCCGACCAGTATTTGTAAGTTTTATCTATACTATATTATAAAGCATTTGATAAAAACTCTTAAAAACTATTTTTATGCACGAAGTACCGTTTATTGATGCATATTACTTAAAATTTAAGATTACAAGCAAATTGTGCATAAAGTACAAGTTATTATAGCTTCATATTTGGATTCGTGTAACTAACTGCAGATAAACATAATATCAAATACTGGATAAGCATCTCATTTTAAATATAAAAAATTAAAATATAATTAGGATAATCATTGAGTTATAACAGAATACTTAGTTATTATATTCATTAAAAAAATATTATTAAATATAAATTAAATTTCTTTATTACTAAACCGGAATTAAATTATAATTAAAAAAATTGAATTAAGAAAATTACACCAAAACACAAGAACTTTTTAAAAAAATTAATTTGATACTGCTATCGATATATTTTTTTTCAAAATGTTATGATATTTTCAAATTTATATTTTATTCAAAAATAAAAAAATTATCGTTTTCTCAAAACCAAATAAAACCTTATATCGACATAAAAAATGAATAAAACAAAACACTGAAATCAAGATATGTCTCGATCCATTGCACGAGTACCCATCTAGTTTTAACCAAATATAAATTTCTAATTTTAATAATATAATCTTTTAACGTCTAAGAATTATACCTAATTATGCATAATTTTAAAAAAAGATCTTTAATTTTTATTAAAAAAATTGATTAATAAACATATTTATATACAAAACAATCATTTAAATCATATTAATACCTTATCATTATCTTTATTTTTAAAAAACCTATCCACCATAAAATTTATTATTATTATTGTTATCTTTATCCTATAAAATATTTGTTTGTTATCAACAAAAATAATCATAATCAAATCAAAACAAACAGATATTTACTTTAAATTTTTAAAAAAAAATCTAAATTGTAACAGAATTTAGTTATAATTTTTATATATTTTTTATTCAAATTTGCAACATGTCCACATACAATTTACATATTTACAGTAATCGTAGTATAAGTTATCAAAAAACCGATACAGTTAATGTTTACGGGTAATATGACCTGTTAAAAACGATATTTCGACCCCTTAACCGTTGATATCGAGCTTAAAACCATTCATCACCAACATACATCTCTTCTTGTGACTCGGTTTCGTTCCCTTGAGAAAAGTCAACACTCGTGTACGTTCGAACCCCGGGCCCACGTCCTTCGCAATCCTTCGACCTGCCTTGTTGGGCTCGTCTCACTTCCTTTTGACGCTCGGTCAATTCCAACTTTTTCCTCTTTGATCCCGAGCCTTTCACATGCTCATCCACTAGGTCGACTCGTTTCACACACCGGTTTAGAGTTGTGGTGATCTTAGCAGCCTCTGGTCTGGAGTAACTTTTTTTGCAGAGGCTTATTTTGCTGTTTCTGAAGAGTTTATCTAAAACAGGAAGTAAGTTTTGAGGGTAGTCTAACTTCATTTGTTCACCATATGTCGAATTCCAAAAGGCGATGGTTGGATCAGAGATTGAAGAATTTGGGTGATCGAGAGTTGATTCGAGTAGGGTTGCTTGGAGTTTGAGGAAGGTCGAGTTGAAGTTTATTGGTGGCCGACTGATCTGCAAGCGTTTCAGGATGGCGATCCATAATTTGATTGTGTTCTCTTGTTGTAGTTCCAAATCCGATAGCCACTGAAGCAATGGAATTGACATAATCTGGATAACGAAAGAAAAACAAACGAAATGGTAGGTCATGCATCTATCCAACAACATGGGCATACATACATTGATACATATACACACCATCAAAATATGTATCTGTCAATTAGTATATTCATCAATGAATATATTCTATATATGCAAGTACATAAGATTCAGTGCATATACTCGCTGATAGTAGTGGATCCAGAAACTTTATTGATGGGCTTCGGAATCTAAATTTAGAAAATTTTGGGGGTCAAAGTAAGAAATTTATTTATAAAAAATAAAAATTTGAAGCTTTATAGGGGTTGGTTAACCACCACCTCCACCCCTCTTGGCCATAGATCCGCCACTGCTCACTGAAATTCATATAGTATATATGCATCAATGTACGTACTAATTCTCGTGGTTCTCAAAATATTTTACGGTTGTCATTTGAACCTTCCCCCTAAATACATAACGGTTAAGATTGTGAAGGAGAAATACGAACCTCAGAAAAGGGAACGGTATCCTCGTCAAAGTGAAAAGATTCTGCGAAGCATACCAACGTGGAGAAGACCCTGAAACCACTTTCCAGTCATACAAAAGCCACAACACAATGGCATCTCAAGAAACTCCTCAACTATAAAGTTCTATTCTTTTATACCGTAATTCGACCCATAAAAACATTGGCCCACAAAATGAAATTGTTAAATAGACAATAATGGCACGTAAATCTTTTAACTCACCTGGAGGTTGCATCAAGAATCTGCCGATTTGCTTTTGCCTCGGCATATGATGCACTTAAAAACCTATACCAATCAATAGCATCAACTTAACAAAGACAAAAAGGAAGAATTTTGTGAATCTGAATCGATAGCATCAATTTATTTGTAAAGATGATAATGGGCAAATAGGGAAAATGAAAGCTTTCTAAAAAAGGAAATGTTGTGATGATCATGCGATGTCTCATAAAGGAAAGTGTTGCTATATTCACGGGACATAAAAAGTTAATGGGAAGGGTAGTATCCAAATATATATTCTATTGAACCAAAGGGTCATTGGCCAAGTATCCGAGTTACCAATAGATCCCAACCTCCCTGGAGATCAAGGGTTCAAGCCTCGTCAAAGGTGAGGAGTGTGTGTGAGTTTTGCTATATAAATATGATATACTTCAAAAATATATTCTACTGACCTGGCAGGACACTGCAGGCTGGTTATGGCATGACTGAATCTCTTACAATCACCACCACCGTTATTCCTTCGACATGGCTCCGATGATTTAAGAATATGTTCAAGCACACATGTTATGGCATATCCACACAAGGAAAGAAAACCAAAACCCTGAGTCTTTTCTGCAGGATCAACCTCAGAATACTCTTCAAGAAACTGATCAAAAACTGGAAACAAATTTTTACAGCACTGGGAAGACAGGCACCCATAACCCTGATGGACAGCCACATAAAGCGACTTCCATGGCTCGATAACTTGTACAACATCAAGCTTCTTTTGTGATAATGAGTAGAACACGACAAAAGGGTAAGCCAAGAAATGAGAAATAAGGAGATACCAAGTATCATCAAGCTCTGATTTGCATGACACTAGACCCTTGTTACCATCTACATAATCCTTCAGGCAGTTTGCTATAACAATCCAGAAATCTAAGCAGTTCAGTGTCGAGTATTTGTACAACGAACATGTGAACGTGTGGAAAACATCATAAGAATCATATGACATCAGCAACAAACTCACGTAGGCGGACAGTTTCCGTGCAACAGACCCATCTCCAGGTGCATCAGAAGTTGAATTAATAATGGTATGAAAGTAGAGTACAATAAGATACACAACTGGTGAAACCATGTTCCCATCTCCCTCCAAACAAACCACCATCATTTTTGTAAGCCCATTTGCTTGATTCAAGTTTTCAGTGTACTTGGAGTGCAGTGTCAATTTGTATAGACGGGATCCCAAAATTGATGATTCCAATTCTCTAGTAGCAATCTCTATAAACTGGAGAAAAATTTGACTGATAACACTTTCAGATATCTTCTCCAGGCACATAATGATAGTATTGATGCATGACATAACCTCACTAAAAGGAACACTTGAACTTGATAAATTAGATTGGACTCCTTCCAATGAAGAACGAAAAAGTTTTAAAGCAGCATCATACGCTACTTCCCCATGACTGATGAAAATGTGAACCACATTTACGAACAAGTCTAACTGACCTAAATTCCAAGGCGTCCATTTAATTGGGTAATGCTTCCATGAACGGTTTGCAGGTTCAGGATGTGTAGTAGTCGGGCTTTTAGCTAACTGTTCATCGTCTGATCCCCTGTTTTCATCTATTCTTGTTGCTAATGCATAGCTCTCAATCAGATCCAAGCAGAAATTCCAAGACCAGATGTTCCTACTATCAGGTCCAACTCGAAAGACCACTTCAAGCATCGGCCCTAAAACATTTTTAATAACTAAAGGGTGATTAACGGAGGTATCCAGTTTGTAGAGCAAATAATTCCAAGTACTCAGGCAGGATAAGTGAACAGATAAATCACATTTGCTTGACATGATCCCTATTAGGGGTGTCATTATGAGTTTAGTGCTCTTGGGTAATCCATTAGCTTCAAAGACACCATTGTCTTCATATGTTTGCTCTTGCTTACTGCAATTATGTGCGACTGCTTTTGTTGAAGATTCTTGTGAGGGCATAATGATCAAAGCATCAATTAAAGCTTCCCAGGCAATCTGCAAATTTGAAAGAGAGAACCTTGAGAATCAGCTCAATTGGCAAATAAAGGCTAGGCCTTGCGGCTTCTCCCCATGGGTCGCCAGTTCAAGTCTCCTCAAGGCCTCTGGGCATTTTGGCCCTGGGGAATTTTTAGACTGTTATATTCCAGTTCCTATGGGCTTAGTCAAGGTGCGCACAAACTAGCCCGGAAAGCTTATGTGGCATGAAATTGTTACCAATAATTTCATTTTGCTTCTACAATGTCTTTTTAAATTTGAACAAGTAGAATCTGGAACAGGACGAAAACAGAGAGTACCTGTGAAGCAATCTTGACTTGTGGGTCACTGTCAGAAAACGTCTGCTCAGGACTTTTTAGTAGCTGATTAATTAAGTGCCTATTTTTCATGGCATATGGTCCTATAAGGCGAGTAAACCATCCCCATGCTTGCATTGCTTGAATCTTCATGCCTTGATTTAACAGCCCCTCCAGTGCAGGAAGTAGCTTTCTCTTAACATCTAGAATAACTGCCTGTTCGGAGACATAATACGCTCATTTACAGAACCAAAGACTGTAATATGTTATTTATAATTTAATAATTCCTACTTTTCATGAAATCTGCATCAGGGCATGGCCCTAAAACCAACATTCAAGAATAAATAGTCACAGTTGGATGATTTTATTGTTGTTCATACTGCATATGCTCTGTTACTTTTTGAAGTCAGCCTGTTATTTTTTAGAGACCCGAAAAAATGACACCCAAGGTGTTGCAACTATTTAGAGACCCGAAAAAATGACACCCAAGGTGTTGCAACTATGGTCACCTGATCCTTGATGCACCCCTGGTCATTCACCGTGAAATAGGCAGGCGTGAAACTTTAACCAAGAACTTCTAGGTTATCCTAAGTAAGTTCCATTTAATTTAGCAAACTCAGCAAGAGGCCAAGGCTCAGCCTTCCAGAATCAAACTTAGCCAAAACCGTAAGCTCTAGGCTATCTCTATTACACAACCTTTTAAACCTAAAAACGCCATTAGTTGTTTTACAGCTATTCCAGCAATGCAAAATCTGCATTTCATGTGCCTAAGATAGAAAAAGATTCATCCTCTTAGGATCCATCAGAGGTCATTTTTCCATCCGAGTATAAATACACTTCACATAAGTCTTACATGCCATATGACTTATAGATAAAGGAGGCGTCCCTTTTCAGAACTGAAGAAAATTTATCCTTTGTAATCTGTATTTTCTAACCACATGATAACCAATAAAAGTATAGCCGATATAGTAATGGTTTATATACCTTGGAGAGAGCTTTAGATGGGGGACATATTGTAGATTTAAGTTTCAGTAAACATCTTTCTGACATACATTTCTCCCTTTTATCTGCACTAACAAGTCTTCTGTATATCGGGGGAGCCCATAAGTTAGATGTCTCTCTCATTTTTTCAGGCAACTGGGTCACAAGCTTCATCACAGCCTACACCAGTAGAATGAGTAAGTAACAAGGAAAAAAGGCCAAGAAAAGTTTGGTTTATAGTATTGCAAAGGAGACTATTGATGATCATTTCCCAAGGATTTTACATAAAAGGCTAATAAAAAGAATTAATCTCAAATAAAGTGGCACTGTTATATGGCCAAAACAATTGTGAAAGAATAACTTATTATGGTCATCTTCTGATAGTGAACAAACAAAATAATTCACCTAACACCAGAGCCATGATTAATGTTATTCACTTCTAACAAAACATAAGTAGGTACGAATACATACACATGCACCATCGCTGGGTTAAGGGACTCAGTTATTACGAATTAGATCAAACGCCACTAGTTAAGCTTTCTAAAATTTGTAACTGCACATGCATGAGCAGGGTACAATCAAACACTTTTTCATGGTGGAGTGTATGCAAGAGGTGTGCTAAGCATGTAAACTTCACCAGGATGCTCAAAGTCATGCTTATTGGTAGTAATAATAATAGAAGTTTCCAGTATTACATAACCAAGTGTCGAAAATAGTCTCTTGTACTGCTGATGACGAGAGGGAGATCATATTAAATGAAAAGTTCCAATTGTACTGAAGGGTCAATTGCCCAGCAGTACCCCGTTACTGGTAGAGCTAGTCTCCCCAGGAGGTCAAAAGTGAGGAGTGTGCGTTAGTATTTACGTATACAAATATTATATGCTTCCAAAAAGAAAAGAATTCCAATTGCGATATGATCAAGTTGACGAGACTCGACTCAAATCAACAATCACTCATCCAAAAGTAATTGGGTTAGGCAAAAAACCAATTACCGTATAAGAGCCTACAAACAAAACAAGATAAAAACATTGACCACATTGTCATACCTGCATGGCCTCAAAAGTTGTTGATAGAGATCCAGTAGGATTGTCAAGGGCATGAATTATTGCCCTCACCAAAGAGTCAATATGAGCATTTAAGGACATTGCACTGAATTGTTGGACAGATATGCACCATACTCCTAAATTACAAACAGACTGCAATTAACCTTTACAAGTCAGTACCATTGACCATGCGTCTGTAAGTGATCGTAAATGATCTCAAGCTAAATGCAATTTCAACCTTGATTCGAGTGGCCAAAATGACCTTCTGCAGAGAACTTAGAACCATATCAACATCATCTCCTGCCATACCCACAACACAAAAATGCTCAATTCACTTTCATGTGTAGTAACTTCTTCATCTACAGAACATATGATAGTTGTTCAAGTTCACATCATTAGTCTTATCAATGCCTTTTTAGTCTTCTTTCACCATTGAAATTTAAACCTATACACCTGATACTGTTGAATTACAAAAACAACATAAAATATTACTGTTTCTTTTTATTTTCCTTTGAATTCTATTTCAATGCAATACATCCTCGTGTATGCTCAATGAGAATATAAAGTTGTGACACATTGGCAATGAGTTGTATACCTTTGTTTCAATGAAGTGTCATGACGCTATAATGTGGTTATGTAAAAAACTGTATGTATGGTCTTCAAACAAGCAATCACAGTTCCTTTCTTTATATGAAATGAACTGTTCAAAAAGGCGAAATAAACGAACAGTACATACAATCAACTACTTGATGAGGCTAATTCGCTAAGAAGTCTACTAACCTGAGATACCGGTAACAATGGATGGATGGTAAATCATGAACCCCATACACTTCAAAGCCTGTGCAGCACTGCAATTAGACGAATCCATCCACACAACCACATTACAAGTGCCAACTAGTAAGAAAACAGCCTTATCGGATGCTCAAATACAACAATCACTTACTAAAAAACTTACATTTCCTCGTCATCATCTGAAATATCGTTCGCCATCGACGACAAAAGAATATGAGACGAATCAGCGAGAGATTTAAGGAGGGGAGGATCGGTAGTCGAGTGTTCTTCCAGTTGCAATAACATGGAGTAAGCGGATGATTTGTCCCATTTTGAGTTGATACCAGCACAAGATGACAAAAGGGTTTTCAATTCATTGAGTTGGTTCGCTAAATCCCCCATTGTTTCTCGCTGAAATTTGGAGAAATCTCAAGGGTCGATGTTCTGTGGAGATGAACCCTAGTTTGTACTTTGGAGGGTTATTTAGTTTGCTGCTTGGCGCCATAAATAAATTTCCATCAAATCTTAAGGGGGTTAATTTACTTTACAACCCTTCATCTTTAGATGGATTGTTATTTCAATACTAAAGTTCAAGTATTATCCTGGAAATGCCATAAGTAGCACAACATACACAAGGGGGTGTTTGGGATTGCTTATAAAAACAACTTGTTGACTTATTTTGACGTGGCACCGGTAATAAACACTTTTGAGTATTTGGGTAAACAACTTATACCGGTGTCAAACCGGTAATAAGAAGTTTTTGAAAAAGTTAAACTCTTCTAACTTAAAATAAGTTGATAAATGCTTTTATAGAAAACAAAAGTTATTTCAAATAAGCAATCCCAAACACTCCCTTCATTTATAATGCAGTCACAGGAGTTTAATATTGTGTTATCGAATTAAGAGAGAAAAAAAAAACTGAAAATTAAATATGTTATTTTTATCTCATTGCATTGCACGAGTATCCTTCTAATATTTAAAAATCGTTAAAAACATTCAACTTGCAAAACCATACTTAAATTGCACAATTTTGTAAGCATGTTACAGTTTTTTTTTTCCGTCGAATAATTAAATTTGACATAGTGGTTTTAGTAATGACTTTTAAAATCCAACAACCATGTTATAAATAAAGTGAAAGCATGTCGGTATTTATGGTAATTGGTCAAAAAATTATCTACAATTACAATATTCATTTTGAATAACATTGGGTTGACCCGAACCAAATTGATAGTATAAAGTGGTTTTTAGATGATATCATGTTTATAAGTATATAATATTTATGCACGGTAAATTAAATTTGCATTTACTTCTCACCTTTGTGAGATTTGAATCCCTGATGAAGGTGGGGTTACTAAGTACCGCTAGGTTAATGACCCGTTTCTGACATTTTATGGGTTCTGGGCGAAATGTAAAAAATGACTCTCGATAAGTATGAAAAAGAAATATTCAATATATTGTCGTTATCATAAAAAATAACATTGAATTCAAGAAAATATTAATGATTCATATAAAACCATTTTTCTGAGTATTCCTATACGCAAAATCAGTCAACAATTATTTCTATATCTACCATATCATTTTTACATAGCATCGTCAATCCGTTTCACCATTAAAAACATCTTATGACACACTTTAATATTTAGATTGACATCATTTGCAGTCAGAATGCTGACTATTTCAAAGTAATAATTGTGTAAATCAATATAAATCAGTTGAGTTTCCATCTCAACTCATGTTAATGTGTTTCATCATCGTCTTCAACTTGTAGTATTAAAACAAATTTTTTTGGAACCATCAACCTTAGAATCAAAAGTCCATCTTGGTTTAAGTTTGAGATCTTATTCTTGTTTTAGAGATTGAGAAGTACTCAAGATTCATACATTCAATATTAAGTAATAAGGAGTCAATAATGTATGAAAAATAAGGGGTTGTTTGGTTCATGGATTTGGATGGAATTGAAAGGAATTGGAATGGCCAAATCATTTGACCAAATTCCAAATACAATGTTTGGTTCATGGAATAAAACTGATGGAATCCTTTCAATTCCAATAAATTCATTCACTCACGGATTTTACATTCCACGGCAATACCCTCAGATTTCAATTCATTTCCGACAAATATCTTCTCTAATCCAAATTCATTCAACGTTGCATCTACCATCTCATCTAATTGATCTCTGGTTTAATCTCCATCTGGTACGCTCTCTCTCTCTCTCTCTCTCTCTCTCTCTCGCTCTCTCGTAATTTCTCCATCTATACGAGATCGATAGACAACATATGTAATCAAGGAATCGATTCAAGATAACTAGCTATCAATATCACTAGTCCAATTCCGTTATTCAAAAATCATAAAAGATCATTTGCTGATATTTAATTCTGATTCCAAAGTTGAATTCCGTGAACCAATCAAAAAAATTCCATTATGTTAAGAATTTCATTCCAATTCCATGCAACTAAACGCAATCACAAGGCATGGTCAAATTCCATCAAATTTCATTTCATTCCTTCAAAGTCAAATTCATTTGATGAATTCCAATTCCATCGAATTTCATTATACAAACCAAACGCCCCCTAAGAGTATTTTGGAATCCTAATATAGATATAAGTTGGACCATCTCATATGGTTGGTAATTTTTTTCCAAAAAGTATTAGTTTTATTAGATGATAACAAGAAATCTACTATAGTATAATACAATATTAGAATTCATGCAGATGGAATAATCAAAAGAGTAAGTGAGACATGAATGGTATAGAATATATTAAGGTTTTTTAGGCAAGTAATTTTAGACTTTGGGTACTTGATAAAAAAAACTTGGAAAAACAATAAGCAATACTATAAAATGAATGACCAATTAATTATTTACGTGCTTTCTTTTCCAAGGTAATTAATTAATACATGTTTGGATCCTTGATATGATTTGAAATTATTTTTGGCTCCTATTAGATGCTAGAATTTATGTTTCTTTTATTTACTAATTCTTTTGAACTACTACTATATACTATAAAATATGGTCCCATGTTTCTTGTGGGAACTTGACATATGCCCGACCCGCCCTCTCCCAAAAACGCCCCTGGTTGAATCCAAAATGTTTGATTAAAATATATAATTTTAAATAGGGATACACCGTTTATAAAGGCTAAGCTCATTCGTATTTGCGGTAATTTTGTATGATATTTTCACAAGATTCAAGAGAAATATATGTTATTTGCTAACGATGTTGCTTTGCTACCATAGATGAAGGAGGAGATGAATGTTAGGTTGGAAAAATAGGTGAAAAAATCTTAATCCTACTGGAAAGCAGAATCCTAATGTTGTTGCACAACAACTACGCGGATTGGTCATAAGAGATGAAGAATTTTCTTTTCGCCAAGAATAATATCGGGTTCGTCAATGGAACCGATGCCAGAAAAAAATCACCAAACTAATGTTGTGGAGACGGTGTGATGCCACGTGATACGTACTAAGTATTTAGTACATAAAGTACCTTTTTATTCTCTTTTAGATAGGTTATTTTGCTTTCATATCCCAACTTTGAGTCATTTTATCTCTTTTATCTGTTTTTATGCTAAGAAGAATGTTGAACCTGTTTTAGTGGATTTTGGTCTAATTTGAGCTTATTTTGGACAGATTGGAGCAAGTCGATGCTATGGGAATGTAGTAGCATGACCTGATGGCTGATAGAGAGATGAATGAGACTTAGAGTTGACTGACATGACTTAGGAAGACATTTGAAAGCCTTCTAAAGTTGAACCGGCTATAGTTAATCAGATTAGCTGGAGTTTACAAGACTAATTGTAGTTTCTTTCTAAGTATTAGTTTGCTTTTATGTACTATTTAGTTTCTTTTGAACCAAGTGGGTGTGAAATTACTATTTTGCCCTCACTCCATCCCTAGTATAAAAAGGGATGTTGGGAGGAGTATTCCACACACCTCAACTTCTATTTCACACTTTTCTCTCAAGTAGTTCTCCAAACTACTTGGAGAACAAGTTGTCTTCTAAATATTAGAAATCTTTTGGCATTTCAAGTTCTATAATCGCTTTCTTTAATCGCTTTATTTATATTATCGTAATATTCCGTCTTTAATTTATTTACGCTTACTTGCATTTTATTTACGTCATTTATTTATTATGCTTTCCGCATCTTTATTATTCCGTCATTTATATTCCGTCATTTACTTTCCGCATTTATATTATGTAGTTACTTATCGCAATTTATATTTCTCGTAATTTACTTTTCGTCATGAGTAGCTAATTTTATTAGCTCGGGTGTATGACGAAAAGGGTGAGTTTTTAAACCGTCGACCCTTTCATGTAACAACGATGTTTTACTTTTTCATTTCAAGTTTTATAAAACCATTGACACTTCTTGACGAGTTGATCACTTTGAAAGTGTTAAAGTGTCGTGGACTCTAAGYTGAGCCATYGTTTGCACGTCAACTTGGATGATATGGGAAGTAGACTTGAGAGAGTTGCTAACAAAGAGATTTGTTGTCCGTATTTTCTAAGTTGTTAATTCTCGACGGGTTGATCACTCTGAAGTGTTATAGTGAGAGATGAGCCATTAAGAACAAGTCAACTTGAATGATATGGGAATCCACTCGAGAGGATGATTTTTAACAAAGAGATTTGTTTATCCATATACTTTGAAGGCACCATTTGTCACTTTCACTGGTCTGGATACCTCATAGAGATATGGGTTGAAAGCTATAATATCAGTGCATTGGTGAAGTCCGGGAGGAATACCTTCAAAGTAATTGGTAGAAATAGTTGTTACTGATTGCATGTTGTAGCAATCTGTCAGCATGGTTTCATGCTATAGCATTTTGACAGCATTGGTCGACTATAAATAATATTTACATCTCACCCGAAAAGTCATACACCCTAGCTTGCTTTTATATTCTGTTATCTCCTGTTTTTAGTTGTTTTAACTCTGTTCAAATCTAAGTCTTCAAATTCGCCTTCTGAAATCATTTCCTTAACTTTACTTTCTTTTAAACTTTTACTACGATCCCTGTGGACGATATCCGGTACTTGTACCACTTTTATTACTTGAAAGACGATATTGGGACTATTTGTATACTTGCTTTTGGTCCTGATTGTTGTTTTGTGGTTGTGGTGTTCCCTGCCCATCACCATGATTAAGGAATGGCTCACCATGACAATGGAGAAGGAAATCAGGAATACAGTAAGATAGGTCGATCTGCCAAAGAGATATGGAGGGATCTTAAAGAACAATTTGACAAGGAAAGTGCACCTTGTGGCAATTCCAAATAGGGATGCCAGGGGTTGGCAATTCTACTTCGCCAAATGGTCCAAAATAAAGTCCTACATCTCTCATACTTCAAACGCAATCTGTTATCGATAAGCCAATTAACGAGATACCTAAATTGTTTGCATAATACATGATTTACGCTCGAGGAACCTGGTTGGTGTGGGTAAATCC